GTACACATGCAGAAAACTGAAGTTAGATCCTCATAGATCACCCTGCACCAGAATCAACTCCAAATGGATCAAAGACCTCAATGTAAGACCAAATACCATGAAAATATGGCAGGAAGGGATAATGGAAACACTAAGTCTCCTTGGCACAGGTTGAAAGTTCCTAAGTAAAGATGTAGAATCATAAAAAAATCAATGTATTTTCTTTAGTAACTCTCTAAAAATCCTTTATGTTGTGCTTAAGGTTGCTTCAAAACTATGATTTAATTATCATAGTTCTTGATTGAGTAATGCAAAAGCTTGTCACTTTAAGTGTAATTTTTAGCTAGTATTCATTCTCTCTTACAAAACATTACTCTGTTTCAGATGCTGGTAGCTCATGCCTGTAACCCTAGCCACTCAGGAGGTCTGAGGTCTGAGGTCTGAGGACTGCATTTCGAAGCCAGCCAGGCAGGAAAGTCCATGAGACTCTTACCTCCAATTAATAACAGAAATAGTAGGAAGTGCCACTGTGGCTCAAGTGGTAGAACATGCTAGCCTTGAGCAAAAGGAGCTCAGGGACAATGTGCAGGCCCAGAGTTCAAGCCCCAGGACCAGAAAAACAAAAAGAAAAAAATTGCTCTACTAAAGTCTTGAGATTATTTGCTCTTTCTGCATGTCTTTTGTCTATTTTCTGTAAGATGAAGACCCAAACAAATACCCAGTAGATACATACACTGAGTCTATTTGTTTGAATGCCAACAGTAATGTTGATTTCAAATCAGTTTTTATCTGATTCTCTGATCTCAAGGATGGATTAGTCTACTTCCCAAAGAAATAAATCTGTAAATGCCTCTATATTCAGATCATTAATACCTTATTTGAAAATATTTTAATTGGAACATAAACAGGCTTGCTTTGTTTTAGCAATACTAGGTTTTGAATTCAAAGCTTCATAGTTGATAGACAAGCATCTACTAGCTGAGCCATGCTTCTGGTTATCTTTCCTTTTGTTAGTTTGAAATAGAGTCTTGATTTTTGCATAAGACAGTCTGGCCCATAACCCTTCTATTTACACTTTCCACTGTAAATAGAATTACAGGAAACCAGTACCATGCCCTGAGTTTTCTGTTTAAGAAGGAGTCTCATGACATTTTTTGCCTGGGATGGCTTGGAACCATCGTCATCCTGATGTCAGCCTCTTGCTAAGTGGAGATGGACAGATGTGTGCCACTACACTAAGCTAAGTTGAGACAGAATCTCAGTAAGTTTTTGCACAAGCTGATATCAAATCATAATCTTTCCTATCTCTGTCTCCTAAGTGCCAGTTTAATAGGCTTGCGTTTGATTACATATTAAGCATGTAGGGAAGATTGAATTTTCTAGGAAAGTGGCCAAATGGCTTGAAATATACTAAGAGCAGATTGCTGTTTTATTTTCCCTGGTACAAATCCCAGATGTAAAACATTTTTAAATGATGTAAGCCAGAATATTAACAGTTATTTACATCTTGTGACAATATTATAATTGATTTGTTTTCATTTTTAGTTGTTTATTCATTAGTGAATTTTCACATAATTAAGATTTACTTCCTGAAAATTATTAATTATATTAGTGACAATACAAAAAGTGACTGCACAATTTTAAGAACATGTTTGCTGGGTTTTCTTTAAAAAAAAAAAAAACCTAAGGGGGCTGGGAAGTTAGCTCAGTGGTAGAGCACTTGCTTTGCATGCATGAGGCCCTGGGTTCTATTCCTCAGCACCACATAAGAAAAAAGAAAAAATCCAGAAGTGGCGCTGTGGCTCAAGTGGTAGAGCGCTAGCCTTGAGCTGAAGAGCTGAGGTACAGTGCTCAGGCCCAGAGTTCAGGCCCATGACTGACAAAAAAGAAAAAAGAAAGAAAACAAAAGAAAAAAAAAAACTGGACTTGAGATGTAGTCCAGTGTAGAAGGCTTGTCTAACATGCTAGGCCTAAGGCCTACTTATGGCTTTTTAAAATACTGAATCTCTCATATGTTCTTATTTCCTTTTAAAAATAAAATTCATTATGACCATGTACACATGTTTAGTAAATTATTAATAGTGTTTCATAACATATCCCAGTACATCTTAGAATCAAAGAACATTGAAGGAATAATGTACTTTAGACAAGATCTGGCATCAGGGAGTAGAACACTGAGGACTTTCTGTCATTGAAAATTTAAAGAGCTGAATGACTATAAAACATTTAGTTTTAGTGTTCAGAGTCTGTCTTTGGACAAGATTCTGTATTTTATGTAAAAGTCATACCTCCATGGGATATCTGAGTTTGACATCTCTGAAGTAGTCCAACTCCCTTAATTTTCTCATTTGGATAATGATCTGACTCTTTTTCAGCTCTTCTTTTGCCAATTTGTCTCCTTCCCTCGTACCAGAGATTTAACTAGTATCAATGACTTGTAATACCTGAAAATAAATGTAATTATTATATATTGACTAAATGTAAACATTGGAAAATACAGTCAAGGGCTGGGTATGTATCACAGTGGTAAAGCACTTGCCTAGCATTCACAAGGCCCTGGTTCAAGCAGTCCCTCCTTTTTTTTTTGACAAAATAATGAGTTGTCGTTTGTATATGAAGTATTCCCCAAATAACTCCTGAGTTGAAGCCTGTTCTCCAGCTAGTGTATCTTATAGTTAAGATGGGGAAAAAAAAACATTGTAACTGGACCATGAGTGCTCTGATCTAATCAATGGGTTAATCTAGTGAAGGATTCATTATTTGAAGGCATTATCAGGGATGGGAGAAACTTCAAAACAGAAAGATATATTAGAAGAAATAGGGTGTGGGGCCTGTTTTAGGAAGCTATATCTTGTCCCAAACACCTACCTTCCTCAGCATCTTTCTGTTTCTTCACCGCCACGAGGAGATAAACTGTGCTTCACCCACACCCTTCTTTTGCATTACTTTACATGACTAAGAAGCCACAGAACCAGTGAATGTGAACATATGGACTGAAGTCTCTGAAACCATGAGTCACATTAAATTCTTTCTTTTTAAATTGTTTATCTCTGATTGTCTCAATGATGAAAGCATGACTATCACACTGGAAGGGAAGAATTTAAGGGAAGAGAGTCAATACATTGAGGATTAAGGGTGGCCTGTGTACCAAGATATGGGATATAAATCAATCAGTCATTTAGCAGCATAGACTGGTTTTAATCTGTAAAAATTAATCACAATCACTACTATTTGAGTATATATACATAGAGAGAAAATATATATATATAATGATATTAAGCTTATGTATATTGAGTATACATATATATATATATATATATATATATATGCTAGATAATCAGATGATTAGTTAGACGTGTAAATATTATCTAGTGCTTGGACGACCCATAAGGTATTTATATTACCCCATTTTACAGGTGAGTAAACTAAGGCTTAAAAGATTAAGTTGCCCAGATCTCACAATTAATCCGTTATAGTTTCCTAAATATTAAGTATTTTGCTTAGTATTTTATTATTTTCAAAAGGTCTTTTAAATATTTACCCCTCAGAAATTAAATATTTATCTACAAGTATTAAAGACTTAAAATACTAGACCACTTTCTGTTTGGACTTAAACTCCCTCCTAGGAATGATATGGAATTCTTTTAAGTGCTAGTCCTGAGGCCTAGAGGCTTTCCCTGAGCTTCTTTTGCTCAAGGCTAGCTCACTGCCACTTGAGACACAGCTCTACTTCTGGATATTTTTGATGGTTTAGTGGAGGTAAAAGTCATACAGACTTTCCTGCCTGAGCTGGCTTCAAACCACAACCCTCAGCTCTCAGTCTCCTGAGTAGCTTGGATTCCAGATGTGAACCACTGGTTCATTATATATAATTTTAATTTTCAACCAATATCTGTGTACTAATCACTGCAGTTGGAGAAGTTGAGGAACAATGTTTGTTGGAAGGATACCTCAATCTGTAGAGTGTTTGGGTATTAAAAATCTACAGTATCCTAAACTAGCACACACTACTAATAATGATGGCAATCATGCAGTGAGAACCTCAGAGTTAGATATAGAATGACAATTGTCTTATATTTGTTATTTAAATGGTTTTTCGGTAGTACTAAGGTTTGAACTCAACCTGGTGCTTTACCACTTGAGCCATACCTATACCTTTTTATTTGGTTATTTTTCAATTATTTTTGCCCAGGTTAGCCCCAGACTGTGATTTATCTATATATGCCTCCATGTAGTATGACCACCAGGCCTGGCTTGTTGGTTAAGGTGGGATTTCATTAACTTTTTTTCAGGACTAACTTACAACTATACTCCTCTGAACCTCAGCATCCTGAATAGCTGAGATTACAGCTGGGTGCCACCATGTCTGGCCTGACTTTTTATTTGTAAGGGAAAATGATTTGATATGATCTGAAAAGGAAGAAACCTTTGTGGTTTTGTTCTCTTAACATAGCATAGCTGAAAGTGTAAATAACTCCCAAGTCTTGAAAAAGAGTCTTGGATTCTGACTGTTTTAGGGAGCATCCAAGATGGACACAATGATGCACAGATGGTCCCTTAACTAATTATAGTTTGACTTACAATTGTTCTGACTTTGTAGTATTGTGAAAATGATATTTGTCCAATGGAAAACCATACTTAAGAGTTTAAATTTTGCTATTTCCTTGGGCTGCTGCTATGCACTAAGATGGAGAGCACAGGGCAGCAGCAGAAAGCTGTTGCTACCACTCAGCCATGTGAACCCCAGCTGTGGTGTTTACTAGTTTGGTTTATTAAATGCATTTCACTTTATGATGTTTTCAGTTTATCACCAGTTTCTTGGGATATAGCCCATCCTAAGCTGAGGAGGTTCTGTATTTTTAGTTTCTTGTCATGAAAAATATAGACTGTAGGTGAATCGAACCAACAAACCCAGTATTGCTCCTTGGTTCATAATGTTCATTGAACCTAGACATTTGTTCATCTGCTATTTCCTTTCTCTTGAGCATACTGATTTTGGATTTATTTTTTGTATTTTTCAGAGGGAGTTTTGGAGCACCTACACAAAAGCGCAGCAAGGAGAGACTAACAGAGGAAGTGACTGGTTTCAGTTTTATCTAACGTTTCCATTAATCTTTGGTCTTTTTATTATCCTTCTTGTCATTTTTCTAATCTGGAGATGTTTCTTAAGAAACAAAACTCGTAGACAAACAGTGACTGAAGACCACATTCCATTCCCACAGCATCTTAATATCATCACTCCACCTCTCCCACCAGATGAAGTATTCGATGGCAGTGGATTGTCTCCAAGTTTTCTGGAATATGTAGTTGGACGCTCAGATTCTGTCTCCACTCGCCTGTCCAACTGTGATCCCCCACCAACCTATGAGGAAGCCACTGGCCAGGTGAACCTGCAAAGAAGTGAAACAGAGCCTCATTTAGATCCACCCCCAGAGTATGAAGACATAGTCAACTCTAACTCAGCCAGTGCCATTGCTATGGTGCCTGTGGAAACCACCATCAAATGAAGCTGTGCAAACTTCTTTTTACTTTAATCATTTTTAAAATACTAATGAAAAAACTTTCTAGCACTTTACCACTACATAAATGTGTATTGACTTATTTTATTAGACTCTTACAGCATACCACTTCACATTTAACTGGTTTGATTTTCCTTATTTTTTTTTCTATTTTATAATTGTTACTCATGCTTAATTAGTAGAGATCTTCATGTGACATAATGAGAGCTGCATATTCATGTGTGAATATATGCATATACATGCACACATGTGTATCAGTCCTGTATGTGTGCAATTGTCTTCACATCCATTAACACTCGCATCTAAATTACCTATAAAGACAGCATTACTCACTAAATTTGGAAGAAGAAAAAAAGAGGCACCAACAACTTACGTAACAGATAGTGAGCAACATGCTGTAGAAATTTGCCAAAAGGTTGTTTTTAGAAGGTTTCCTTATTCTTACAGGTTTAACCTTCTGATTCTTTTCTTTTCAAAGGGAAAACTGCTCAGAGTCATTCTCCATTTTAGAAACATCTCAGAAAGAGAACAGTGCTCAAAACAAAAACTTCCTTCCAGCCAAGAAAGTGATTGGTCACTAATGGTATTTCGCTCATTTTATACTTGAGATTTTCTTCTTGTTTGATGCCTTCCCCCACTCTAATTAAACAGTATGCTTATTTAGCATCCCATACTATTTGTACTAACATTTTGATGGGGAGAATTTCCTGGCATGGAATAATTTCTAAAGTGGATATAGGGATTAATGATATTCAGTAGATAGTGTTGGTTTACACTTTTTCTCACTAGGAAGGGACAAAAGTTATTTTCTTCTCACTGTTTCATTGTATTTTACTCTACTGTTTATTCTGTCTTTACCATCACAGATTCTTCAAGCACCCAAGAATTTAAGTTAGAATAAAAATTTTTAATTACTTTCTTAATATTTTTGTACAGGCTGCAATATTTGTCCAAGATTATTAGAAGACAATTTTTCATTAAATTCAAAACTGATTTTTGTATTGTTCAATTGGTGGAAGAAGAATACTAAGTGTGTTGTAGCAGGTGCACACTAGATCTAAGTATGGATCCAACACATAACAATGTCATTATATTAGCTATTTCATTTTGCATTTTTGTCAGATTTTTTTCTAACTGTTGGAATTTTACATTTCTCTTGGAGCAGAGGGAATAGGCTGCGAATGAACAGCCAACAGAAACTGGATCAGAAAAATAAAAGCGTGAAATGAGACAATGTGTGTACAAGTACTTTGTATAGTAAGAAGATCTTTCAAGTATAAGACACTAATATTATTATGTTATTATGGTATATTGGGATGAGCTTCTCCTTCTCTTTCCCTAAAATTAACCAGAGATTTCTTTATATTGTTGAATTGAGCAGATTGCTCCAAAAATAGCTAATATCTTCCTAATCTGAGTGTGCAAGCTGTTACTTGGCCATAATCTTGTCTGTATAGACTTGTGCCAGTTTAAAGATGATTACCAACTCAGTATGAATAGGGAAAAGTTTTGGATTGCATGCTAAATTTGCAGTTAATAGCTTTCCTAGACTAAGAATGATTATATCTTAATAATAGCCTCATAAAATACATGGTGATCTTTGGTTTCTAATTAAGTCTGAAGGTAGAATTGTTTGATCCAGTGAGTTATGTAGGCATGTGTGGAGTTTATGGTTTGTTTTTACAAGAAAAATGAAGGGCCCTTTAGTGTGCAATAGTTTGTCATTAATATTAAGCTTTATATAAGACCAGCAGTTTTCAAAGTGTGGCCAATGAACCCTTAGTACCCTTCATAAAAGCCATTCAGGGACTCTGGAAGGAGACCAAAAAATTTGAAAACTACAAGATTAGACAAAGAAATGAATTCTTCATACTGAGTATCTTATTACAACTTATTGTACTTTCTAAACTCCTGATGTTGAGTTAATGCTGCATCTTAAAGATACCTGAATTGCAGTATAATAACAAATGCTAATCCTGGAAGCAAAAACCTAAAGTTTAAACAAACATGGCTAATGAAAACACTACTCCATAGTAACAACTGTATTGGCCACAATCTCATGGCAGCTTTTGCATAGTAATGAGAGAATAAACAAAATACCACTTTCTTCAAACATTATCCTAGTTTTGTTTGAATGGTTTGCGTTTTATTATTTTTTTTACAAAGATCCCTTTTGCTACCTTATCTGGTTTTATAAACCGAGTTTCTGAACATTTATTATAATTAAGGGACTTATCTGGAATAATATATATTTTTGTGCTTTTGCCTTTCTTACCTGATTCATATTACATTCGCTTTTGATCGTTTTTTAATAAAGGTTTATTTTTGCAAAATATATTTAGTATATAGTAACTTAAATAGTAACTAAATTGAATCAACCTATTTGTATTTAAATAAAAGGATGTGCTCGTTGGTCTTCCAGTAGAGTGATTTCTAAGTCTTTACATGCAGTGGTTGTATCTAGAATTCTATAACTGGCATCTTTTGCTTCCCTGCTCTAAATATCACAAGAAATTGTATTTGTTTTCTATCGACCAATGCAAATAAGAGATTTTGTGTTTTATTGCTAATAGTGACTTCTTTAAGATTGATGACCTGATCAAATAACTATTGAAGTAGCATGTATTTTATTATACTATTTCACATTTTAAATGCTTGGTTTACATTAAATTATGGTATTTAACTTTTATGTTTATACTAGATATGGTTTTCTTAGGTTTCTGTGTTCTTGGTATGCTAAATAAAGCTATTTTTAAACTCAAGAGGTTTATATTTCCCTTGACTTGTGTTAATCATATTATGGCTGGGTGGTAGACTTGCTGCATAGTTCTTACTCATCGTTTTTTTTTTTTAATAAAATGAGTGATTATATTTCTTTTCGTTAGGGAGTACCACTCCAGAAGTCAAAAATCATCTGGTGAAAACTTCAAGATTTTCTTGGCATCAAAGAGAACGTTCTATACTACTATGACTGCCACTGGCATGATTTTTGTTTTACAAAGTAGAAATATTTCTGCAGGGGAATGGATTAATCTCCTTCTTCAGTGCAGTTTGTCAAATCTTGAGAGCAGTGGTGGCTGCAGAAACCCAAGAGCTGTTTGTTCCTGCTTAGCAGAACAGCTTGCTTTTGATATTTCTGAAGATAAAAAAGAAAACACGAGATGAAAGCATTGTGACCCGAGGGCATGTCCCTAATTTTAGTTACCTTAGAATAAAAGCTGGTTCATCTTTTCATTAACCAAGCAAAACATAATGTTGAGTTGATCTCTATGACACAAAAATTAAAATGACTGTATTCTGGGAGAAATTTTAAACATAAATTATAAATAAGTATCCATTTTAAAAGGATAACTCCTCAGAGTTAATGAAGCATTAAAAACTTTCAAAATGGGGCTGGGAAGGGGCTGGGAAGGTGGCTCAGTGGTAGAGTGCTTGCCTTGCATGCATGAGGCCTTGGGTTCGATTCCTCAGCACCACATAAGCCAAAAGAAAAAAGAAAAATGGGGCTGGGAAGGTGGCTCAGTGGTAAAGCACTTACCTTGCATGCAGGAGGCCCTGGGTTCGATTCCTCAGTACCACATAAGCAAAAAGAAAAAACCCGGAAGTGGCACTGTGGCTCAAGTGGTAGAGCGCTAGCCTTGAGCTGAAGAGCTGAGGGACAGCGCCCAGGCCCAGAGTTCAGGCCCCATGACCGGACCCGCCACCCCAAAAACAAACAAACTTCAAAAATATATACCAATTTCTAAACTTCCATCGATAAAACATTCATCTTTATAAACACAGCCATGAGACTCAACTCCTATATCAAGATATTTTTAATATCTCATGCCTTCTTTAAGATAACACTCCTCTTTCATCTATCATAATAGATTGCTTTTGTAAAGCTTATCCTTGGCTATTGCCATACAGACTTGCCTTGTTTTGTATAAGCTCTTAAGACACTTTAGAAAGCTTCAAGCTAGATGTTTCTTTGCTCTTCTTCTATCTCTTGGCCTTCCTTGGAATCAACTACTTCTTTGCATCTTTCCTTTAAATCTTCTTACATTCCTAAAGCTCTAACCCTTAAAAATTGTTTAATCCTCTTAACTCCCTCTCCTATATAAATCAATTGCTCTAAAAATAAAGACTTATTTTCTGTAGCCTTTCAATTGCTGAAGTATCAGCATTTTCTGTCTGGTCTACAGAATGCTTTGTCATTCTGCTTGTTACTAGTACAGTATTTTGGTTTTCTTTGTTTTCTTTTGCTTTTAGTGTTGCCATGGCCTGTGTGTGCTGAGCACAGGCTTTACCACTGAGCTGCACCTCATGCTTCTTCTCTTAACATTTTACCTTTTTCTTAAACTTTGTACTGTGACATTTTGTTCTCAGCAACTTTACTTACTTAATCAATTCCTGTGGTTTTCATAGCCTCCCAAATCCATTATAATAAGACCTTGCAAACTTGTCTAGCCTTTTTTCTTTCTATAACTCAGATGATAGATATTAACAAAATTCCTACTTTGTGTGAGACATTAAAGGCATCATTAGAAAGTAATGATGTCCATAGCTTTCATCCGGTGAATTTTGTAACCTGACAGAAATGACAATATCATTATCTTCTAGAGAGGTTTATAACATTAATCCTTCTCTAGCTCACAGAGATTCCTCTTGCCCAGTCACATGATATAAATAATCATTAAATCATACAAACTGAAAGAGGATTGGACACATCCATTCCAGGGGACCACGCAGAGGCAGGCAGGCACAGGAGAAAGATTATTATAAGGTTTATTAGAGGAGCCATATTTCCCCCAAGAGGGAGCACATGGCCTCCATCACCATCCAGTTAGCAGGAGGGTCTGAGGGATAGGAAGGGAGGTAGATGGGAGTTCATGTGGGTCTGGGTGGAGAGAGGGAGGGGCCAGCTGTATGAAGGGAACTCCACGAATGGGAGGGGGGCCCAGGTCTGAGTGGAACTGAGGACCAAAAGTGAGCATAACACTAACACAAACCTTGTATAGTTTTTATCAGTTTCATCAATGGAACATAAACTCCAAGCATTTTCTCACAGAACCTTAGAATATTAAACCAGTACAATAATTATGCTTGACTGCAAAAGTGTGAGGCTTAAATCCCTTTGTGATCCATCTTCTTGACTTTAGGTCAGTCCAAGTAACCTCAGCAATTTATGAAATTTATGAACACACCTGAAAAACTATTATAATGAAACAATTGCTGATATCCAATTACATACTTCCTCATCTTGCCACTCCAAACAAGTCTGCTCAGTCTTTGCCACCTATGAACTATTTGGAGTTGTAAGGTCTATTTTTGGATCAGTTATCCCCAACTTTAACACTATACTTGAACTTATTTTTTCAGCAACTTCCTTTGTCTTTTATTTTAGTTGATAGAGTAAAATGTCCATTACATGACAACATATTTAGCAAGTATCTTCCACATTTTTTTCAAAGGCAACTCCAAAGGCCCAGAAAGTGTTTCTGTCAAGATGACTAACTATAGATGACAGACATGCTCCTGTCCTGCAAACAACAACTAAAACAACAGCTGCTAGACTTTTGGGGGGAGAGTGATGGTGTGCAGTACAGATGCAACAAAGAAGCTATGAAATATGGCACCTGGGGAAAGCCTTATAAGAAAAGGAACAAAGTACTTCCCAGTGACTACCATTTTGCCCCAGTTAAGATGAGCTTGAAACAGAGTGAGTCTTCCTACAGTGAGGAAATGGTTAATTAAAAACTCTCAGCAGTCCCCACTGACACCATGGATGGCTGAAGATTTTATTATTAGAGAATTCTGCAACTCTTGTGGGCTTTGAGCACAGTTTAAGGAGCTATAAGGGAATATGAGTATTGCATGGTTCAATAGAAGGATCCCAATCCACATTGTACCTTTTTCCATGTATGCCAGCACTATATGCTACCATTTTGAGACTGAGCCTACAGAAGTTGACAAGTGAACCATAACTCCACCCCAGGTCCAAAAGCAATCCCACCTGTGTACAGTTATTAGACATGGATATGTGTCCCTCCACTGCCAGTGGTTGTATCACACTAAACTTCCCCAAGTCTACTGGAAGGGCCCCACCTCTTTGACACTGATAGGTAGCCCACCTGGGCATACTGGCCTTGCAGTTACCATTTGGCCCCCATAAGTCTTTCAGACATTGATGGGTACCACGTGCTTACTTCTTGCTAGGCTATGCATGGTCCTTGGTCCCTACATCTGCATGGCTCACAGATAGTGATGGGTGTTCTACTGTCATTTCCAGGTACCCCATATATGCCTACCTGAGCCCTCTGGAGTGACCCCACCCATGTTGGCACCTTTTTCATTCATATGTTTATCACACTGCGTCTCCACTGCCTAGGCTGCCAGAGCATCCCTGCCTCTATAATACTCAGAGAAAATGATGGACAACTCATGCTGCAGCTGCAAGTGCTACACTATATATAAACCTGCCCTGATAAGCTTTGCTACCATTCATTACAGATGAAGAAAGTACATGGATGCTATACTACAGCATTTACCTGAGATTAAATGTAATTTCACCTCCCTAACTGGCATCCTAGGGCATATCTCCATGTGAAAGTCTTTTACTATAAAATTAGTAGAGACAACTGATATACCAGATGTGCACATATCAAATTTTTTTATTGTGAAAATACTGTATAGAAGGGTTACAATTACATGGGCAAGATAATGAGTACATCTCTTATCAAGCATTGTAGCCTCCTCCTTTGTTTCCCCTTCCCATCCCTTCCCATCCTCCCCCCGCCCCCCCACCCAATCCTCCCCTCCCCCCCCAAAGTTATAAAGTTCCTTTTCAACATAACGACTTGTACTTCTCATTGTTGCAACAGGTCCACAATTGTGAAACACAAAAAACATAAAAAGGAAAGGCAATGTGACACTACCCCCAAAACACAATTCTTCATCAACAGACCATAAAGAAAGGTCAAGGAAATACCTGCTAAATAATTCAAAACAATTATTTTTAAGAAACTATATCATATAAGAGAATACAGATGATTCAGAAAAATTAGAACAGTGTAGCCAGGTGCAGGTGGCTCATGCCTATAATCCTAGCTACTCGAGGAGGCTGAGATCTCACGGTTAAAACCAGCTTGGGCAGGAAAGTCCATGAGACACTTATCTCCAAGTAACGACCTAAAAACGGAAGTGGAACTGTGGCTCAAAGTGCTAGAGCACTAGCACTGAGCAAAAAAAGCACAAGGACAGCTCTTAGGCCCTGAGTTCAAGTCCTACAACTAACAAAAATAAGTGAATAATAAAATAAATTTGAACAATGTATATTCTGAATGAAAAATTCAACTAAGGGACCTAAAAAAAGAATCTAATAGCCAGGTGCCAGTAGCTTCTGCCTTTAATCCCAACTATTCAGGAAGCTTAGATCTGAGGATTGTGGTTCAAAGCTAGCCCAGGCAGGAAATCCATGAGACACACCTCCAACTAATCACTAAAAAGCTGGAAGTGAGGCTAGGCTAGGCTAGGCTAGGCTATGCTCAGCTAGGCATATATGGTGTACCTGGAAATAACAGCAGATGTAGGGACCATAGGCCATGCATAGCTTATCAAGTAGTAGGCGCATGGTTGAAGAGCCCTAGCCTTGAACAAAAATGCTTAGGGGGAGCACCCATAGCCTACGTTCAAGCCCTAGGACTCGCACACACAAAAGAACCCAACAGAAATATTAGGACTGAAGAGTATGATAAGTGAAAACTTAATAATATAAAAGATG